CAATCCTGCGTCCGATAAGCCCCGTCCTGCTGGACCCTAAAACCTTAATCAAGATTTAATTCACAGCCCTACTCCCGATAAATAGCTGTATATATTATAAACAGCGCCTCCTACTCGCCAAGAGACTTAGGTTTAGGAGGGGGGTACTGTCACGGTATCGACCGCGACACCCTACCTACCGAAATTCTGCCGCAGATTGCTACAACTCCAGCAATCTGCACCGGCCTACTACCGTTGGCCGGCCTCCTGCCCTGCCTACCCTGCTCCGCTCCCGTCTCGCTTCCGCTTCCTATCCTGTCCCGCTCCAGCCACCTACCGGCTGCCCCCTTTTCCTATCACCTGATCTGGTAAGGACCTCGCGTACACGCGTGCCACGCGCCGAAACGGCATAGAGGCCGTACGCCACGCGCTCGGCCACGCCCTTATATCCGGTGGCCCGTCTCCCGTCTTCCTGTTCCTTACACAACGTCTTGATTCTCCACGTAGCATTGTACATAGCACCTAATTAACGCTCCTCTTTAAGCCCTCGACCTCTCGCGTGTAGCGCTATCGTGATAAGATTGCTCTAAAAATAAAGTACCTATAGTTTTACTTACTATAGAGGGCGGCTAGCAATATAGGAACAGATGTTATTTATTTTCCCTATAGTATACTTAAAATAGCTATATTCTTAGTTATATAATACTAGATCGAGAGTTCGGGCTTTCTAGGAATAGTATATAAAATGCCGAATATAAAAGGCTATATCGCGACCCTAGATATAAATAAGAAATAACCGAAATAAATTAACGCGACCGAGCTGTATAGGTGCTAGTATAAGTCCGAGCTAAAAATATAAGCTATAAAGTTCTTATTAACTATTAGTATATATTCCTGCCTACTTAAATTTAGGAGCTAGGTGCCTATAAAGCTTTCTTTTAGTAGCTAGTCTATACCGCTTAATAAAATACTGTAATATATTTAGGGCCTTAAAAAAGCTTAAAGGCTAGGGGATATTATATAAATAGTTTCTATTCTATACTATACTATACTACTAGAATATATAAGTATAATAGTACTAAGCACGTAGTATAGTTATTATAAAGCCTAAAAAAAAATAGTAGAAGCAAGGTTATAGAGCCGTGCTAAACTACTATAATAAATAAAGGAAAGCGGGTGGTTTAATAAGGCTATTAGAGGCCGATAAAGAAAAAGCTATAGGGCTATCTAAAGGTTAAGGGAAGGGTAAGTAGCTAATAAGCTAGGTTAGAGGCTAAAAAGGTAACTAAACTAGCAGGTGCTGCCTATAAAAAGGGAGGACGCTATAGGGCTTATAAAGAAAACGCAGGCGGAGGATACTAGTATATTTAAGGCTAATAGAAGCTATTAATAGGAATAAGTAGTTAACTAAAGTTAGATCTATAAAAGCTTATTAGTATATAACTACTATAACAGATAATAACTTAGTCTAATAGAACCTTAGTACTATAATAAGGTCTTAATAAAGGCAGTAATAATATAGAAGGCAGCTAAAGTAGTCTAAATGCTATTTTTTAAGTAGTATAGTTATATAGTAGTAGGCCCTTAGATAGATAATTAGTAAGTAAGCTTAGCGGTCTATAGTTATATAAAATGCGGGGTTAGTAGAACTACCTAGACACCTAGGCCGATAAAGTAAAATTTATTTAGGACGAGCTTAATTACCACCCCCCTATTCTCTCCGCATCACCCCCCTTTTCTCTTCCTGCCACCCCCCCTACATCTAGCCTAGCGCCGGCCCGTATTAATATTGTTCCACCAATCATATTCACTCGCTTATTAGATACGTAAAACGGCAAGGCTATACAAATCGGAAAGGATGTATACACGAATCGCATAGGATGTATATATATACAACAACAACAGTCTATTCACTCCATCTACTCTAGCTAGTCTAGAAGCGGAAAGCGCCTAGATGGCCGTCTCTTAATTGCTGATTGAAAGGAACGCC